CCAGCCTGCGGGGACCCTGGCCCTCAGCCAACCTTGTCCCACTGTCCCAGGCCCCATCACTGACACCTGGGCTGCATTCACTGCTTTCTGAGTCACACAGGCCAGCGGGTCACTGTCTTCAGGGTCAGGTGTCCAGGCTCCTTCAGCCTTGACTGCACTCGCTGTCTCGCTCATGTCCTGTGTGGGTGATGGAATTTGGGGTTCCTCTGCATGTAATGGGCTGGCTGTGAAATAAAAGCTAAGAAAGAGAAAGTGGCAAAGAAATCACAGGAGACAGGAAATAGTTTAGAAAGTGGAGGGCAGGATGGCTCTCGATCTTAGGGACCAAGCTTCCGCACTGGAAAGAGAGCGAGAGTCCGCGTTTGCTTCATCTATATGGGGGAAGCATCAAAAGTTTTCCACGAAATGTTTTTTTGCCAAATAAGGTGGGAGGTGGGCTGTCCGGTTTCCAATGGTTACGCCCCACTCCAGAGCTAAGCTAGGGAGAGTGGTGTCCCTAGCCGAGCCAAGACAGAGGTCATGTGTATTGGGCAGTGGGAGGAGGAGGAGCCACAGGGTACTCTGCCCCTCCCTGGCTCGAGGCCGAGTGAAGATGCTCAAATAAGCTCAAATAATTCGTGGGTGGCGTCCCACAGGGCTGGACTGGGCCTCCACCAGGACCCCTTCCTTCAGGGCCCTGGGAGCCGTACCTGCCAGGTCCCTCCTCTCCAGCTGGGACAATGGCAGCCTCAAGCCCAGTAGTCTCCCCGGCTCCTGTGACAGAGGACCACAACACTCGGGGCTGTCTGACCACAGGGACGGCTCTCAAGTGCAGGAGCCTGAAGCCCAGGTGTGGTGGCCCTGCCCTCGGAGGGCTGTGCTCCTCTGAGGCCTCAGGGGGGCCCCTGGTGCTTCCTGGTGGCGTCAGGCACTCCTTAGCTGTGGCTGTGACCCCTGATCCGTGTTCCCGTGTCCTGGTCTGTGTCTTCTCCTTTTCTCCCTGTGAGGACACGGGTCATTAGATTTGGGGCTCACTTAGAAGATCCAGAACCATCTCCTCTCAGACCCTCAACCTCATCACACCTGCAGAGACCCTTTTCCAGACAAGGCCCCACTCTGAAGTTCCAAGGCTGGGACACTGTCTTAGTCAGCTTTTTCGCTGCCGGGACCACAAGACCTAACCAGAACAATTAGAGGAGAAGAAGTTTTACGTTTCGCCTTATGGTTTCAGAGGTCTCAGCCCATAGACGGCCGAGTCCCTCGGGGTCCAAACCTGGGGGAACATCATGGCAGAAGAGTGTGCTGGGGAAAGCAGGTTACAATGTGGCCACCAAGAAGGGGGCGAGGTGGGAGGAAAGATCCTCCCCAAGGACAAAGACACATACCAAAGGCACGTCCCCAGTGACCCACCTCCTCCAGCCAAACCCACCTGCCTACCGTGGCCACCTGGCTGACCGGTTAAGTGGCATAACCCATCATGAGCCTCTGTGACAGATGTGCACACATCTTGGTGGAGTCCCCTCAGCCCACCTCAAGCCCAGAGGGAAGGGACAGAGGCTGCAGGCTCTCTGTCTAGAGGCTCCCGCCCTGTGCCCCCAGGGTCCTGCCTCCCCGGGCTCAGCTCTGGAGACACACAGCCTCCTCCGGGGTGGCATGTGACCCGTGTGTACACGGGGGACCACCACATGGACCCTCCCTAAGCCAACAAGCCCGCCAGGGGGAGACCTGCCAAGGTCCGGTGGCTCCTCCTCTGGGTGACAGGTTGGAGTCCTGCCGTCCCAGGCTCCCTGACACGTTCCTTCCTTCCGCACCATCACCCGGGGATCCCGAGGCTGAGGATCCACCCTACAGGAAGGGCTGGGGCCTGGACAGGCTTGCTTGCCCAGGACCCCCAGCGGAGTGGCAGGTGTGGTGTAGACCTGGGACTCCCACCTTCCCCCACTTCCCCTTGGGCATGCTGCCACCTGGGTGGCCTGCGCATTGGCTACACATAAACTGACATGTGACAGTGGGCTGCTAAGTCCCCTCTCATCAGCCTGAGCTGGAGGGACCAGGCTGCACGCAGCTGGCCCCTGCACCTGTGCTGCCTGGGGACCACCAGCCTGCGGGGATGGCCTGGGGGCACCTGCTTCCGCAGACCCACAGGGTGGTAGAGCAGCCCTCCTTCAAGGAGTACAGGGTCCCGGTGGCACTCGGCCCCCTGCCAGCCCCCTGCGGCTCCTCTGCTTCTCTTTCTGGGGCACGGGGTTCTGCCCATGTGCCCTCCACACTTCAATCGGGGGACACTGGATGGCATTATTTCCCGAGCTTGCCATGATCCTATTGAAATTTCTCTTGGTGGACATCGGGCGCAGCAGGGGTGGCCCAGGGACAAAGGAGACAGAGACCCAGGGCAAGCTGCTCCTCAGTCATTTGCTCTCCCCTGTCACAGCCTCTGAGGTGCCTCTGGAGGTGGCCAGCAGGTCCCAGCTGAAGTTCAGACCTGGTGCCTGGACTTGGTGCCGAGAGGTGCTGAATCGGGACTTTGCTGACCCTCTGGTGAGGTCTGCTGTGGTCTCGGGACTGTCCAGCAGGTCACCTGCCTACTGCCTGCTGCGGTTTCTGGTCAGCGCCTTCTGGTCAGCTGTCTTGTTAACTGTCACCCAGGGATCGTTTCTGATCCAAAACGCTCAGGCTCGCAGTGGTCACCACAGCCAGGCAGTCTGTTGAGAGGGTCCCACAGCTGGCAAAGGGAGTCAGTGTCAGTCTGAGTTTGAGGAGGTCGACCAGAGAGGGGCACCTGCCCCGAAGTGCCCTGCCTGCCACCCTGGGGAACAGAGCACCCTCCCCCCCTGCCCTGCCACACAGCTTCTGTGACTCTAGGACGGGGACGGCTGTGTCATTTATGGCTGGGGAGACGGACCCCCGTGAGGCGAGGGCACTGGCAAGCGGCCATGGCGACAGGGGGTGCACGTCTGTCACTTGGCCACCGGAGACGTAGCATCGCTGTCCCCGGAGCAGGAATCCGGAGGGTCTGCCGCCCCGTTCCGCCTGTCTTCTGAGCCTAGGTGGGCCTCTGTCTTGAGCTTGTCCATGAAGCTGCTTCACGGTGAGCCCAGCGTTAGACGTTTGACCTTCTCGGCAAAGAGGTCCACCCTCGGCCCATCGACGCGCCTGTTTGCCCTCGTTGATCGCCGGCCTCTCCCGAGTTCCAGTGTCCCCAGCTGCACTGAGCCACTCACCACTCAGTGATGACTTCCCAGCACGGCCCTGTGGTTGGCCCCACGCCCAGGCTGGGCACAGCTTCCACACACTGGCTTCCAGAGGGGACACAGTCACTGATCAGATGAGGTTGCACAGACAGAGAGGGAGCCACACTCAGGAAGTGAAGGGCCAGCGCCATCCAGGACCTCTGCCTGGGCCCCCAACTTCCCCTTAGTGGCTCTGTACTGGGTGGAGCAGGTGGCCCAGGTGTCTCTCTGGGTCCCCTAGGTTCCTTCCCCCTTTCAGATGCTGCCAGATCTCAGGGCCCTGAACTGACTTCACATTTGGTGGCCACGGCGTCATGGACCCTTCTGGGCCTGCTGCCATCTTGCTCTGCAGGGCCTGGGGTGCTGTGGGCCCTAGTCATGGCCGGCGTCTGGACAGCACTCAGGGCTCTCCAGGGCCTCACCCATGGTGACTCCTTTGTCAAACCCTGCTCTCCTGGGTGGTGACTGATGGGCACAGGCACGGGCTGCCTCTGGTTGGGTCCGCTCCTGCATCACCTCGGTCAGTGTTCTCCAGCGGAGGCCCCAAGAAGCTGCCCTTTTGGGTTGGCAGATCCCGGATGTGTGTGATTTCTGAATCCACATAACGGCAGGTTAACGAGGTAAAGCTTGTGGAAGTCCGTTCTGGAAAACCCAAATGCGTGGTCAGGCCCTGTCAGAAGCCTTGTCCATCGGGAAGGCACTGTGAGGTGTCCTTCCTTCCCAGTGTGTCCTCCCTAAGGGCCTCGCACGTGGAGGGCTTGGAGCTGCACGGGGGGTGCCCGGTGCACAGGTGGCCACAGGCCGGTAATGGGGGCTTGGCTCTCGCCTGATGGGGAAGGTGGAAGCAGGAGGGACCTCCTACTTCAGGCCTGCAGAGGCCCCTGCAGAGGGCAGGTGAAGGCCCGCAGGGGCCTCAGAGGTGGGCCCAGAGGAAGCTGCCAGGCAGAGCCGAGGGCTCCCAGCTAGGGGTTCAGAAGTGTCTCCCCCAGAGGTAGAGAGCCCAGCGCAGAGATCCCAGAGCCTAGGAACACAGTGTCCCCAATGAGAACCGGCCATCTCACGCCACGGTGCCCAGCGAGGAGTGACACGGGTCCTGGCAGATGAGCCTCCAGTCTCCAGCTGTGCCCGAGGCCTGGGGTCCTGCAGCAGAAGGCTCCTGACACAGGGAGGAAGCTCATGTGACCAGCTGCTCTGAGGCAGGGGGGCAGGGGGAGCATGGTGCTTCTGGTGGTGGGACCCCCACGTTGCTGGGTGGACAGGAGGCCCCGGGTGGGCCTCAGCTGCCATGAAAAGAAACAGAGGCCCTTCCAGGCCTGTGCTAGTCCGCCCGAGGGGGGCACGCCAGTCTGAGTGCAGGGGGTGCGGGTCCCCCAGGAAGGAGCCCCTCGGTTCATGACACGTTCCTCCTGAGGCCAGAGGCTCGGCCTCCTCTGCTCTGGTGGAGGTGGCGTGGTAAAGTCCCTTCCCTCACATTCTCATGCCGGGACCCACACAGGGCTCCAAGGCATATCCCGGGGTCCCACCTCCAGGGCACCTTGGCCCTGCTGGCACCCCAGTCCCGCCCCAGGCTAGAGTGGGCTTCACGGGAGGAACCAGGCTGGATTTGAGTCCGGTGGCTGGAAGTCAGGTGGGGAGGGCCTTGGAGGGTCCTGGCCGCCTCCTGCCAGCCGGCCTGCAGCAGTGCCCACCTGGCCAGGGAGGTGGAGCCTGTCATGTTCCTTTCTTTCTTGTGTGCAGGTGTCTTGGGCTTTTACAATGTACAAGTGTGATTTATATAATTAGAAATAAGACTCCAAAGCAATTTCCATTATATTTGTCTTGAAAAAATGGCTGCACCATTGCCAGAGCTCTGAGGAGAGGCCGTCTGCCCTGAAATCAAGCCAACCTCCATGAGAGGGGACAAAGAACGTCACAGGGAGAGAAGGGAGACGCAGAGGGGCTGTGGCCTGCTGGGGCTGAACAGGAGTCCTGGACGTGACCTCGGGCAGCCAGCGCTCACAGGGCAGAGCACAGGGCAGGGAACCTGTGGGACGTGGGCACACATGACACCGAACACAGCCGGCCGAGCTTCACTGGTGACCGTTAATTTCTGCAATGACAGCAAGTGTCGAGGCCCAGGCAGGAAGTCAGCACCTGCTGGGGTGTGTTTCACAGACCTGAGTGACAGACATGAGCAAGGCCTCAGGGCCACCTGGGGACAAGTGTGGGTGCCCTGCCATGGCCAGAACAGGGGACAAAGGGAGATGGGGGCTGACCTGGGACTCAGGAGCCCCAGCCACCCACAGAGTGGGAAGCTGGAGCCACAGAGGGAGGAGGAGACGCGGGGGGACGAGACCCGCTGGTGTCTCCAAGGCTGCGCCCCCAGGAAGTCTGGCCGAGGCCTGGGACAGGTGGCCTGCAGGGCTCAGCAGCGTGGGGCGAGGGTTGGCTGGGGCCGGGCAGAACGTATTGCGGCCAGGGCGAGGGTGCTGCTAAGAAGCGTGTCTGGTCCGCTCTGTCTCCCGAGGTGCTGGGGCAGGAACCCGGGGCCTTGCTGGGCAGGACCACCACGGAGCCGCCCCACCCCGCGCCCTCCTCCACTCACCAGGCTAGGATGAGGCAACCGGGGACGCCCTACTCCCCCTGTCCAGACGGGAAAGCAAGGCTCAGAGGCAGGATGACCCCAGACGCAGGGCCTCTGGGGCCGGGAAGCTGGGAGGCGGAGCGAGGACCTGCTGGACAGCTGGAGCCACGCCAGGTGCTGGCCATAGGCCGGTGCCCCACGGCCTCCCTACCCATGGGTGTGTCCCGGATCCGGCCAGGGCACCTCTGGCTCCCATCTGGGGGGCTCTCTGGGGCCCGAGACGCTCAGGCAGGGAGGGGCCGGCTCGTACTGCCCTCCAAGCCTCCAGCCCCGCAGGCAGGCGCCACCAACACGGCTCAGGGACCGTGGAGTCACACCTCCCAATGTGCCTTTCTTTTTTTTAATTGCCATGACTGGAATAATCCCGATTTATCTGCTCTCACCCTGGACGGTGAATTTAATTTAATGGACTGTAACGGCTGCCTCTGATCTGCAAGTGCCATGTTTATTTGCCTTATTAGTGTGGACTGGGGGTTGGCGGCCGGCAGGGTGGAGCTGTCCGTGAAGGGGCTTCTCGCCGGCCCCTGCTTATTCCAGAGGCATCTCCATGTCTCAGTCCCACACGGACACTGAGGTGGACGCAGAGATGTCCTTCCCTGTGAGGTGGGGGACTGGGTGAGGGGCCGAGCCTCCCTCTGCTGAGTGACACGGTGTCCTGTCCAGGGAGAGTCCTGCTCGAGGTCCCAGGGCAAGATGGCGCTCTGCCCTCTCCAGCTGTCCACGGCTATCAGGTGGTGCCCTCCTGGCTGACCTCCTGGCTGACCTCCCCGGCGCTGTGCCCTGCCACTTGGCTGTCAGGTGAGGGTGTACCTCACCCAGCTGTCGGGCTGCTGAGGCTAACCTGCAGTGTGCCTGGCTCCCTGACCACTTCTCCACCACAGAATCTGGCAGGCACGGGCAAGGTGCCCTGTTCTGTCAACAACGTGACCAGGAAATGCAGCCTGGATGCGGAGTCCCACTTCAGGGCCTTTGCACGGGCCGTCTTCCCACCCCAGTGCCTGCTAGCTGACCACTTCTTACTGCACTCCTGACCTAGCTTCAGGTCACCTTCCCGAGGGACACCTTGGGCCACTCTGCAGGAAGCCCCACCCCACCTGACTCTCCTGTTCCTTCTGGAGATTGTCATCCAGAGACTCAGCTCCCTGGAGCAGGAGAGCTAAGGACTGCTTCCCCACCAGGAGGGCGGGACCAGGACAGGGTTCTATGGCGGAGGAGAGAAGGCCACACAAGGTCCCCAGCCTCCTTAATGTGGGACGCCTGCTCCTGAGATGACCTAGGGGTAGCAGGGGCCAAACGAGGGCAGGAATGCTCCCATGGAAAAGCATAGTCACACTGAGAGAGACCAAGGGGCACAGAGCCACGTCCATGAGGACCCTCAGAGTCCCAGCAGAGGGAGAAAGGACACATAGTGACAGTGTCATGGGCCCAGGCAGATTCCGGGGGCGTCAAGGCAGCCAGAGCGCGTGCTGGCGAGGCAGAGCAGCGGGGTGGGTCTGGGTGTGGGTTTCCACAGAGCTGGCTCAGCAGTGACAGCAAAGGCCCTGCGGGAAGGATGGGGGTCCCTCCGGTGCAGCCTGTTGTCCCCACGGCTGAGCATCCCTGGTCTACGACCCGCCCTCCCGAGTGCTCGTGCAGAAACCCCTGGCCCGTCTCTGGTTGCGACTCTTCCTCAGGAAAAGACCTCCCCGGGCAGTGGAGAGGGGGCTGAGGGTGCCCTGGGCCCAGTCCCCACCGACCCTCTCCCTCGGCTCCGGGAGGTGGCACTGTCCTGCCCAGGACACGCCTCACCTCTGAGCTATGGGTGGGCAGCAGGGGTGCCCTGTGCTTCTGGGAAGGACGGCAAGTGGTGAAGTGTGACTTCAGAACAGAGGGGCAGGAGCAGGGCCCGGAGTCCACTCAGCCACAGGCCCTGAGCGTGAGCGGACGTGAGAGTGTGGCCACCGTGAGCACATCCGAGAGGCCTGCTCGGTCATGCACCAGACGCCTCCTGTGCACCTAGAGGGTGGCATCTCCGAGGCACCTCCTGCCCTGCCCCCTTCTCAAAGCCCAGGGTGTGCAGCCCAGCGGGGAGGGCACGGGACGGCTGGGCAGTCAATCGGGTGCTGCTCGATGACGAGGCCTCTCCGGGAAGGGGACGGCCTCGCTCATAGTTCTCAGCGCTTGAAGGCATCTCGTCGTTATTTAACTCTCAAATGGGTTCTTAAGAATCGGAGAAACATGTTCTGCCGGTTTCCAGCGCCCTCGGTGTGCTCGCTGGAGAGAGCAGCGCATTAAGTTATTAGGGCGCAGGGGCGGAGGCGGGAAGGCCCAGCGGGGGCCGGCAGGAGGTGGGGCTGCAGCCGCTCCACACATTTTCCCTTCGTCTGTTGCCCTTAGGAAGTCATGTGGGCATCGCTCAGTCTTTTCTGCAGACTTCTGCAGGCTGCCTGGACGGGGAGCAGGGGCACAGAGGTGGGCTGGTGCCGGCCCCAAGCAGCGGGCACAGCTGTGTCTGTGACATGGAGTGGGGGCCGCTGGGGTCCTGGTGGGCCATATCATGGGCACCTGTCTGGTGTCAGGGCAGCTGTGAGAGAGGAGGAGACTCCTGTAAGTGGTGCAGGCACAAGTGGGTATCCTGGGGCCAAGGGAGCAGGGCACACCTGACACCAGACCCCAAGGGAGCTGTCAGCAACACGTCCTGAGGGTGGGGGTGTTGCTGCCGCTTCCTGGGTGGTGGGAAGCAGATGGCAACCTTCTGTCCTGGGACCTGATGTCCCAGACCGAGAGAGACGATAACAGAGCAGAATGGCCGTGTGGCATTGGGCAGCAGCGGGAGCTGTGGACAAAAGTCAAGCAGTGTAACTGCAGTCCTGGTGTGGGGACAGCCAGAGGCCCAGGACGCTTCCCCGGAGCAGAGCCTGCAGTTCAGAGTTCTTTCTGTGGGGGTAGCTGGGAAAAGGACCCGTAGGTGCAAAGGCCCTGGGGTGTGTCCCTGTATGCAGGTCACATGTCCTGGGTCATTACAGCAGCAGTGTTTAGTCCCTGGTAGCAGCCTGTGGTGGCACTGATGAGGCATTGGCATCCGGATATCAGTGTGGGCTTGGCTGCCTGCCCTGGGGCTGACCTTCTGCCCCGGCAGAAGTCAAGCTGATATTAGGTGGCCTGAGACCCACTGTGAATCACAATGGCAGCATAGACTGTGCCCATGGCCCAGGGTCTCAGCAAACAAAGCCACTCAGGCAGGACATTCCAGGACTCAGAATTCACCTCCCAGGAGCCAGCAAGGGCCAACCTTTTCTTTGGAGTGTGCAGGGTTTAGACAGCCCAGAGCTGCTGTGTTAGCCCTGCCTGCTCCTGGGAGGGCGGGCAGATGAGGAAGGGGACTGGCCACCTCAGCCAGGCCTCGTCCTGGGGCCCTTTCATTTAGTCCTCCTGAGGGCCACGGGAGAAGGTGAGGGCCACCCGAGGCCCAGGGAGTACAGGGGCCAGCTCAGGGCCACCGCCTCTTGCCACACCACCTCCGTGAGAGTGCGATGCGGTCCACAGTGCAGAGCCCTCCCCTGGACCCTGCTGTTCACCCTGGAGCTGTCCAGCAGGAGACTGGCTCCAGGGAGAAGTGGCCTCCCTGGGGCTTGCCCTGCTCGGCCCCTGGTCTCAGAGCCACCACCCAGGCCCCAGCGTGAGCCCCGGGGCCTGTTGGAGGGCGCAGTGGGGCCAGCCACGCAGGGCAGGAGCTTCCTCGTCTGCAGGTTGAGCAGAGGATGCCCAGATGCCCGTCTGTCCTGCCGACTCCCATTTGCATGGACACTCACCTGGTCAGCTTCCGGGCCTGCAGGGGGAGGGTTCTGTTTCTTTCTTGACCGTAGATGAGAGTGGAATGATGTCCACCTCCACTCCGTGGCCATCTGCCTGGCTGCCCGGGGAGCTGGGAGGAAGGAGGCTTGACTTTAGTGTCAGGAGACCTCAGTCAAGGTGCCCACTTGGCCGCCAGCTGCTGTGTGACCTTCAGCATGTGACCTTGCTTCTCTGGGCCTGTCTTCTCATTCATTGGGAGGGGTGTGGCCGAGGCCCAGCCGTCTCCAGGGACCCTCGGCTTTTGCAGTGGGATCTTGGTGCTGAGAACTCATGGGGTGTCAGCTTCCCCCCTCGGAGGCGACGGGAGCTGCATACAAGGGGCATTCCACAGGGGAAGGATTTGGCCTGCGCTGACGCGCGCACAGTCACAAGCTGTTGTCCCCAGCGTTTCCCAGTGCTCGCTTCATGTGGGGGCTGGGCCAGGAGCAGGGACTGCCCACATGCAGCCCTGGGCACTAGGTGGGTGGGGCGCAGGGGCCCCAGGGCCTGCAGAGGTGGGCAGAGCCCTGCCTGGGCAAGGGGTGGTAGGCACCTGCCCTGGCCTTCCCACCTGCCCTGGCTCTGCCCTGCTGGCCCGTGGTCACCCTCCCAGGGGAGCCTGGCTCTGCTCTAGAGCCATCGGGCCACTGCACTCCTGTGCACCTCCGTGGGGCGTCCACCTGGCCTGTGCCAGGGATCCAGCTCTATCCACAGGGGCCAAGGACCTGCTGTGGGCTGCTCAGGGGATGGCTAGCAGGATATGCGGGGAGGGAACTAGTGTAGGTGAAGGGACAGAGGAACCCTGGCCTCGAGCTGGCACTGTGGCATGTGGCACAGGCTTGTGACTGTGCTACCGTCCGCATGGCTGTCCTCTGTGGGATGCATGGCCTGTGCGTGTGGCTGGTGCTGGAGGCCTAGGGCTGTGCAGAGGTCAGGGAGCATGGGGAGGGAGTGCTTGGGGACACATCTTGCCCCTGTGAAGGAACCGGGCCATGCTCGCCTCCGGCCATGGCTGAGCTGTGCAGGGGAAGCGGTGAGCGGCAGTTCCCTGGGTGGTGGCACTGCCCGAGGAAGCCCCTTCCATCCGTGTCTGCAGGTGCAGGCTGGCCCCTCACCAAGCCCCTCGGGGAGCTGCTGCTGGCCAGGAGTGGGGGTCACAGTTTTGGTGAAGCTCACAGCTCAGGAGCTGACTGTGGCGGCCACTCTCAGGTCCCCACTTGTGCCGTCCTCCCTGGAAGATGGGGCATGACTCCAGTCCCCCTTGGAGTGTTGGGTGGCTTAAGCTGACCGTGGCCTGGCACCTGCAGCGCTTTCTGTTCAAAGCCCTGATGGCCAGTGTCGAGGAGGACACCAGAGGTCCTCATGCAGTCGGCCACGTCGTCATTGACTCTCCCTGTGTCTGGTGGGTCCCAAGAACCTTGGCCATTAGGGCCTTTGGACCA